TTGGTACAACAAGAAAATCTCCAAATTAAGTGCTCGGAAGAAACGACATTTCAAGCAAGCTAAAAAAAAGGACAATACTATTCCATGGGATAATTACAACGCGTATGCTAAGGAATATAAAAGAGAAGTGAAAAATGCAAAGAACAAATTTTTTAACTTCGACCTTCTTAACATTTTGAAGAATAAGCCTAATAAGTTCTGGGAGATCATTCATCCTAAAGAGCATAAATCCATCCACCTGACTAATATGAATGAAACTCCCGCGTCTGATAGCGAAAGCGCCTCACTAATAAATACCTACTTTAGCTCAGTATTTACACTAGAAAGCAATGACAGTATTCCTCTCCTAAATCACCTTTCTCATTCTGCTATGCCTTCAATCGAAATAACATATTTGGGTATCGTGAAAGCGATAGAAAATCTCAAAAATTCTGCCAGCTCCGGTGATGACCAAATAAATTCTAAATTGCTGAAAAACACAAAACATATCTCATCCCAATTTTTAACCCTTATTTTTCAACAGTCACTTGATGTCGGCAAGCTTCCGTCTGATTGGAAAATTGGTAGAGTCATCCCTATTTTTAAAAGTGGGGATCGTAATGTTGTATCGAACTATCGCCCAATATCTCTCACCAGCATCTCATGTAAATTACTAGAGCACGTCATTTTCTCTTCTATCATGAAATATCTGAAAAATTACGATCTGCTTTTTAAAAATCAGCATGGTTTTCGTAAGACATATTAGTGTGATACCCAGTTAATACATTTCATTCATGAGCTTCACAGTAACCTTGACAAGAGATTACAGACCGATGTCATTTTCATAGACTTTTCTAAAGCATTCGATAAAGTTCCTCACCAACGTCTGCTACAAAAACTAACCCAACTGCGTATTCATAATTCAGTAATCACTTGGATCAAAAATTTCCTATCCGATCGTACACTATATACTGTTGTAAACGAGTCCCGTTCACCTCTTTCTCGTGTAACGTCCGGCGTACCCCAAGGTAGTGTTCTTGGCCCCTTGCTGTATTTAATATACGTTAACGACCTTCCTGCTAACCTAACATCTGAAATTCGCCTCTTTGCTGACGATTGTGCCCTATACAGACCGATAAGTAATAATAATGATCACCTACTCTTACAGGCTGACTTACTAATAATAGAAGAATGGTGTCAAACATGGCAAATGACAGTTAATGTAAATAAAACGAAACTAGTGTCTTTCACCAGATCACAGTCCCCATCACTCTTTTCATATCAACTCAACGACACAATAATTGACCCCTGTACATCTTATAAATACCTCGGCGTTCATTTAACCTGTGATCTATCTTGGGCAACTCACATTAATTTTATTTTATCTAAGGCTAATTCATCATTAGGATATCTTCGGCGCAACCTCAAACTGGCCTCACCTGAAATTAAACAATTATCATACATAACATTTGTTAGATCTCGTCTAGAGTATGCGTCTTCTGTATGGTCCCCATGGCAGCATTACCTAGTTATGAAGTCAGAGGCAATTCAAAACCGAGCTTTAAGGTTCATTTTCTCAGACTACTCTCGTTTCACTAGCGTAACAGGCCTAAGAAGCAAAGCTAACCTTCACACACTCTCATTTAGGCGCATTCTTTCTCGACTAGCCCTGTTTCATAAATTATACAATAACAATGCCTCTATTAGAGCATCCCTCTTCCTTCCACCCCACAGCATGTCTCTCCGCCATGATAACTCCCGCAAAGGTCGCCCGATTTTTAGTTCAACTGTATCATTTTATAATTCCTATCTGCCCATGACAATCAAGGACTGGAATAAATTACCCGATAGCGTTGTAACCGAGACTAACTCTGATAGATTTGCCGAAGAACTGATCAATTACCTTGAACTTACAAACATGTCTATCTGCTAATTTTTTTCTTCCTTTTTACTTTTCACAGTGCCTACCGTTCCAATATTAATAATATTGTTTAATGTTGATAACTACTTGTATTTTGTTGTTCTTTGATTAATCTGTATTGCTGACTTCCTCTCTGTGAGTGTTAATTTATTTTAAACTATGATTATTAGTGTGTTATTGATTATTAGTGTGTATAATGCCCTAACGGGCCCTCAAGGAATAATAAATGAATGAATGAATGAATGAATATTCAAAATCACACACGGCTTTCAATCAGAAAAGGTAGTTACCAATCTGGAAACAAACATTAGGATCAATATTAAAAACATGTAACTTTTCAGTAACAAACAGTGATCCACTTTATCAAAAGCCCTGCACATATCGGGGAAAAAAAAAACACGGTGAACTTCTTTTCCGGACTCAATTCCAAGCGCGATGTCGTAATGACATTTAACCAACAATGATGTGCAATATACACGTAACCGAAAACCGTATTGACATTTCTCCTTTATTTAAACCAGGTTACAACAGCCAGGTGGCACGACATCTCTGATGTCGTGCCACCTCAAGTAATATGCTTTAGAGATCCAAGAAAAAAAATCATAAATGAATTTCCAATAAAAATGCATGATGAGAACTGCGACAACTGCTCGTGCACCCCGCTAAAATACGCTGATAATGTAAAATACCTGGGTATGCACATAGACAAATATGTTAAATGGGATATTCACATAGGGTAGGTTTGCAAAAAATTAAGGGTATTAATGGCCCATATGTACCACATCCAAGAACTAGTACCGCGATCCATACTTAAAATGATATACAATTCACTGGGTAAATCCGTACTTCAGTATGGAATAACAGTTTACGGGCAGTGTGCCAAGTATTTACAGCTAAAGATAGAATCGATTCAAAAAAGGATAGTTAGGAATATTGGGTACCGAAACAAAGAAACTAATTTCTCAGATTATATGCATAAAGAATTAGGAATATTACGTTTCAGAGATCAAATGAGGTATGATATTATTATAAAGCATTTTTTCACCAGTAAATATAGGCGCGAAATTAAAAAAGAAAGGACATTAAGACCTAGTAAAAAATTTGTTGAACCATTTGTAAGAACAAGATATGGAGAGGCCACAAGGAAATATTACATACCTAAGCTTTATAATACATTACCCGATGAGCTACTAGAAATAAAATCCCCTAGAATAAAAAAAAATAGCAAACGCGTGGATAATTGAACAGGGAAAAAAAGATTCTTAAAAGGTAAAAGGAATAACCGATGAGTATCCCCGAAACGCAGGATATAAAAGGTTGTTATTGTGTTCTATTATTAGAATTGTCTCGTAAGTCGTGAATTCTGTTTTTCTTTACGGTATGTAAATGCTAATTCAATGTGATTCGATGGGTTTACACATGTACTCATCAAAGTAGGCGAACTAATATAAGCTGTAGAAGGAGGTGGAACTGCAGTAATAGGTACTAATATTGGCATGTTTTGTTATTTTTAGTTATGTGTGCAATAAAAATGCAGAGGCTCCTGTCGCGTCCCACACACAAGCCATCATTGGCTTATGTGGGCTTTATATTGTATTATTTTCAAACAAAGTAAATAAAGATGGTTTATGTATTGTATTGTATTGTATTGTATATGTGATCGGATTTGCGGGCGCGCGCGCGACATACGGATAACTAACACGAGTTAAAATGTCGAAGAAGCAATGTGCTTGTAGCTCAAGCGGTAAAGTGTCGGACTGCTGTGCGCAAGGTGCTGAGGTGCATTCCCAGCCGCCGAAAAAAAAAAAAAAAGGTTTTAAAGCATAAAACATTTACCGCGCATCGATTCAAATAATATCACATGACCTTCGTCGTCACATGACCGCTGCATTGACGCCCCGCAAATCGACTTTCCCGCGCCGCAATTCAAATCCCATAGCGCCTAGCGCCCTGTGTCGGATGCAGCTCAAACCCAGTGAGATCACGTGGCTGTTATCAGGTGATGACAGCGGCTGTCAATACCTGGTGATGACATCCCCTGATACGTGTCTTTCCCACGCGTCTGGCACGGGCCAGGCACACGTCTGGCACACGCCATGGACGTGACTTCATACCTATACCGCGTACGTGCCTCGGGGACGGGACCTCGATGAGCTCCGATTGGTCTTTGGCCAATGCCCTGTGGGCGGTGCCTCCTATGCCAATGATCGCGGTGGTCGTGGCCATCGATGCCTTGAACGAGAATAGAGCGCAATAAACGACGGACCAGTAGAAGAGTATGCACACAGACAAGGCGCTGACTTAAAACTCAAGTTTAATAGAAAAAAACATGAAGGCCGCGAAAAAAAACATCGATTCCCACGGTCTGTCAATGGTCACTGGGATGAGAGAGGGGGAAGGAGCCCCGCCCTGCTGCGTTGTAATTGGTCGGATCCGGTTTGGCCCCGCCCTCCTGCGCTGGGATTGGTCGGTGTGCGAACTGGTGCACATTTCTTACTCCGGTGGTATAGTGCTGTCAGTAAAAAAAACTGGCAAAACGCCAACAGTGTAAGCTAGTTTTAGAACAATGCTGCGTGACTATAATATTAGTAAGTATATTCCAGACCTTTACTTTTCGTGAAAAAAAGGAATGCATGACGCAGTTATTACGCAAGCGGAAACGAGTTATTTTAGGCAATCCTCTGCCGAGTAGCATATCCAGATGTCCAGGGTCTACCCTAATGGTAATTACTTGATCAAAAATATTAGTCGAGAATTCCGATTTTTACGCGATAAAGTAGGTAAGTTAATTTTGCTCAGTTCAGTTAAAATCGCTCATCCAAAGTAATTATCCGTGGCACAATCTCCACCCCTGTCTGTTTTGATCTGAATGAGCATCGTACTTGCGTGCGGTCGTGTATCAATGCTGCGTGATGCACGTTAAATATCCCAGTATACCAGTGTTACAGCATCGGCTAAAATTCTTATCTAAACTTGAAACACCAGACGCCCGTGGCTTCTAACTTCCAGCCGTTTAAATGTATACATAAAACAATTAATTTTAAAAAAGTAAACAAGAATATATTTTGTTGTTGAAAAGCCATGAAAGGGATGCACTTACCTTCTTGAAAAATTAGCATTCCCTTGATGGTGACGTGCGCCACATATACAATTGTGTCGTTGTCCAACTTGGGCAGTTGTATTTCGAGGTCCTCAAACTTGACGGGACAATGAAGGGTGTTCTGCCCCTTTTTCCTCCACTTATTACAGTAGCCGTTGCGCGCAAACCTAAAGGTGAGACCGAAAACACGTGCCCAGCGATCCTCGCCAAGTTTAATGCTGTCGGCACTCTCGGACACAAGCGAGTCAGGCAGTCGGACATAGTACATGCCCGTCCTCAATCGTTCATGTAGTTCCTGTTTAACCCTTGATACAACTTCGTTGATAAAAATTTCGTAGCTTTTAACGCCTCGAAACGATGCGGCTCCTGGTAAAAAAATGAATGGCATAGGCAAGTGACTTGAAAGCCGAACCTTGAAGACAAATCATTTAATTGTTATGCATGACCTAAATAACGAGTACATATACTGTATCTCACTAATTGCGCGCTGCGTTACCAATAGTAAAGGGGCGAAAGTAAAACCAAAGCTGTCAAAAAAGAGGAAAAGGAGGAACTGATACCAGGACCACTTTTTATGGACCCCAAACGTCGCTTTTGTCTCCATCGAAGATTAGAATTGTTACTCAACATTTAAGCAAAAGCGGCTCTTTTCTTTCTCCCACCCGTAGCTTCGACGACACTGCGCGCATCTAATGAGGTAGAGTATAGTTAGAAGACATGTTCGAAAGTAGCTTCTTTTTTTAATATACAAAAATCATTTACTGTCTCCAACTGGCGATGCGCTAAAGTCCTGCCTATATTTAAAGCTGGCAACAAATTATTCCCGACCAACTATAGGCCAAATCACTGACGGGTGCCACTTGTAAAATAATAGAACACGTTGTCACAAAATCATTATACGACCATTTAGAAAACAATAACCTTTTCTATAAAAACCAGCACAGCTTTAGACGAAAACTTTCAACGGTTACCAAGTTAACTGAATGCATTCACGACTTTTCCAAATCTATTGATGCCGGGGGACAAACTAACGCAATATTTCTAGATATGTCAAAAGCTTTTGATCGAGTCCCGCATAAACACTTGGCACAAAACCTTCAATCAATTTAAGTCAGCTAGGAATTGGTTAATTGGAAAAGTGAATACCTCATGGGAAAGAAGACAATTTGTTGAAATAAATAGCACGGCATCTAGCGTTCTACCCGTATCACCTGGAGTCCCACAGGGCTCCGTTTTGGGTCTGGTCTTATTCTTAATATATGTAAATGGAATTGCGCAAGCCATTGATATTTCCATTACGGTACGATTATTTGCCAATAACTGTATCATTTACACGGATATCAAAACTAGGGAGGATCAAACTAATCTGGACTTCGCTCTACAGAAAATTGGGTCTTGGTGCCAAGAATGGGGGATGGCGTTTAATATTGACAAAACTGTACTTCTAAGGATATCAAATAAGAAAAATATTCTACCTTTTGTAAATACAGTTAACGGGTCTCCTTCAAGAGGAGTGAATAGCAATAAATATCTGGATATAACATTTGCAAATAACTTAAAATTGGGGAGCCACGTCGACAACATCTGCTGTTCTGCTGAGCGTACATTATGATACTTGAAAAGGAATCTTAGGTATGCGACTATGAGTGCCAAGCTGATGGTGTATAAAACAGTCATACGACCAGTATTAGAGTGCGCAAATGTAATATGAGACCCCCATCACAGAAATCACATTCAGAGATTAGAGAACGTACAAAGACTTTCAGCTCGGTATCTACTCTCCAGGTACAAACGGACCGACTCTGTTACTAGCATGTTAAAACAACTTGACCTTATACCTCTTTCCGACCGGCTCAGGAATGCTAAACTCAAGTACGGGGTGTGACAAAAAAAAAATTTACAGAGGTTTTTTTAACCGCGAAATTAAACTAGGCATCGCCGAACGCTCATTCTCGGCCCAAAGGTAGCGCTAGAAATCACAACCAGATGCCAAAGTTTCAGCCCGATCCCATACTTTAATCAAAAGTTATAAGTGATTTTCTGAAAACTTCAAAGAGAAAATGGCAGCCGACGGAGTTTTCGAATACATGGGGCTCTATGGGCACCATAAACCGAAAACGGGCGAAAACGGGCTCCATTTTCTCATTGAACTTTTCATAAAATCACTTATAACTTTTGAATAAGGTATCAGATCGGGCTGAAACTTTGGCATCTGCTTGTGACCTCTAGCGCTACCTTTGGGCGGAAAATGAGTATTCATCGTTGCCTAGTTTATTTTTGCGGCGAAGAAAACCTTGTAATATTTTTTTGTGACACCCTGTACATTTTTTAATGTATCATGGTCTTTTCACATTGACTGCACCCTGTATTTGGAACCCCGTATAGCTCGCATTCTGAGAAATAGCCATTCTAAAATGGTCCAGCCTTTTCAAAGAAAAGTAAATGCATTTCACTATTCTCTCTTTCCTAAAACAATAGATGAATGGAACCTTTTACCGCAGGAAATTGTGAACTCAAGTTCCCCTGCAAAGTTTTTTAATAATTTATAGCGCTTGTAGAACTAGTTTCTTTATTGTTACTATTGAGTAATGCACGCCGTTTTCTAGTTCAATAATGTTGTCTTTGTAATATGATTTTTTTTATCTGTTTGTGTCTTTTGTTCTGGCGAATGCAAATTAAACTTGTCTATGCGGTGTTTCTCGTTTTCCTGCCGCTTTTTATTACTGTATATTTTACACTCTCCTGTGATGTATGCTGTGTTCTCATTTTACTACTGCTGTTTAATACCGTTTTTTTACCCTCTCCCGTAATGACCCCAAGAGGGGTTAACAATATCTTAAAATAAATAAATAATAAATAAGATTAGACCGTTTGAACTCAGTAGTTGCCACATCAGTTCACTGCGCGCTAGCTTCAGTTTGGTTCGTTTCGGTTTCAACGTCCACGCGGCTGTGTTGTTGTTTTATGTAGTTTATACTTCATTTTGTGATGCAAATGTTTTTCTTGCAGCACATAATTCATGAAACAATGGTACTGAGCCACTCTGAAGACTACGAAGTAATTTCAAACCTAAAATTTGGAGATATTTTTTTTTTTACATTTTTGATGCATTTGCTTATAGTCGGCGGCGAAACGACCGAACTGATGTACAGGGAAGATTACCATCGTCTATTGCCGTACCCGATGACGCTGGTTTCCAGAAGAATAAAAAAAATGAAGAGACTAATACGTGAACGTAAAGGAGCAGGTCGACAGCTAGATTAGAATGTGCTGAGTCGGTTAGAACAGGTAAACTCGTGGGGGATCAGTGACCGAGAGATTTTTCTTCCGGAAGCGATAGCAGACGGACGTCGAGTCATGCGCTCCGCAGGGGCGGTTACATCGGCTGTTTCTGGCCGTGGTACTTCTGCTCCAGATAACGCGAAGGAAACTGTAAAAGATTATCAGGTTATGCTGCCATCCCTGCCCGCTGGATACATCGCGACGAACGCGGTGTTTTTACACTGCGATGTGAAGAAACGCCCCTACCGCATACAGGACTTCAGACACGAGCTGAAAAAACTGGACATCATGAAAGAATTGGCATCAGCAGGTGCGTGCCAGATGAACCGTGTGTGGATGTTGAGACTATGATTCCTTAGCTGCGAAGCAAAAGCTGGCGAACGCGAAAGAACTCGTAGTGAAGGGAAAGCGGTGCCTCGTGCTAGACCCGGCGAGCAATGAAGTCAAGCTAAAACTCCACTGGGTGCCATATGATGTACCAAACTTCAAAGTGCAAAAAGAGCTGGAAAAGTTCGGGAAGGTGTCCAGTATAATCAGGGAGCGCTTCACAGAACAAGGTTTTGAAAATGTCGAGTCAAACACGCGTCTCGTGCAAATGACTCTCCATGAGGGTATGACGGTCGACAAAATTCCCCACGAAGTGCGACTGGAGGGATGCAGAGTCCTGGTCCTGGTGCCAGGGAGAGCACCTCTGTGCCTGCGCTGCAGACGAACCGGGCACATCCGGCGAGAATGTCGCGTTCTCCAATGCACCGACTGCAACCGTTTTGGACATGCGACGGAGGAATGCGTGACAACGTATGCTTCCATCGCTCGGGACCGCAAGGAGCAGGATGAGTCGGAGATGTTCATGGACGCAACCGAGGCAGAGGAAGCTGTAGGGACCGCTGCACGGGAGGCGCCAGACGACACGCCAAAAAGGCCGGACACTGGAGCGGGAAACGACGATGGAGCAGAGGCGTCTCACGACGGAACCTCCGAGTTCACAAAGCACCGGTATGAGAACAATGACATCCGTGAATACCCTCACGCAGAAAAGACCGTGTTTAAGGAAACCTCCATCTGTACAGCGGTCGACGGCGACCAGTGCCAGCAGTTCTATCCAAGCACCGGGCATCATGAGCCTATGAGCGAGACCAGCCCGACAAGGGAAAGTCAGCTGGACCGACCTCCCGTCCCGGACGCGCCTGGCGAAGAGGAGCAAAGTTCAACGTCGTGGACAACTCAAGGACCTAAGAAAGCTCGCCTTGTGTTCAAACCTCGGATGCCCCCAGGCGATCGCTGTAAGAAAAACTCACAGTGAGTGACGCGAAGCGAATTGAGCATGAGAAAGTGCAACAGTTGTTGACCCTTGTAGAGGGAAACGTTTGCCTATTAGTTTTAGAAACAAACGCGTAAGAGTATGTTTGCGCTTCTTGGGCCTCTCCGTTTTGCGACTTTAAATGTGCGTGGACTTAACTCGAAAAAGAAACAGTACCAACTGCAGCATCTAGTATGGGAGCAAGAGCTAGATATTCTGGCATTGCAGGAAACAAAAATGGAAAACAACGATTACATTGAACAAGCACTGAAACCTTTCCTTCGCTGCTACGAGGTTTATGTAAGTCACTCTGTTGGAGCGTCCGCCTGGGTGTTTCTTATATATATATATATTCTTACGAAGAGGAAGGAAACAAAGACGGGCAATCAGGCAGGGGAAAAGGAAGAAGTGCCCAATCGCAGGATCCCTCAATTTCGAAGCACCCACCTCATCCTTCTCCTACAACCCTCCTTAATCGTCTGTAAATAAAGCATCTTTCACCGTAACATTCTTTGGTGGAGGTGCGGATCGGCCCCGACCTGGACACACGAAGCAGACGTCGCCAACCTCCCACCGACATGACTTCCAGTTCCGAAACACCACCCGAAGGCGCTCAAGCTCCGCCGCAGCCTTCACTGGTTATCGCCAAACCGCGAGATCCTGGCCTTTTCACCGGCACAGGAGACCAGGAGGTTGAAGACTGGATAGACCTCTATGAAAGAGTAAGTGTCCACAACCGCTGGGATGGCACTATCATGCTGGCGAATGTCATATTCTACTTGCG